AAAGTGTAAATAAGGATTAAAATGATTAAAATGAATAATTGATAATTTGAAATAGCAAGAAAAGATCAAAGGGGTAGGGGAAGTGGGAGGAGAAGGGGAAAGGGAAGAATGGAACGGAAAAATTATAAGAAAAAAAAAATGGAAACGAAGTCTGTGTAAATAGGGAAGGATGGAGGGGTGAAGGGCGCACAGGGAATGGGAAAAAAATAAGAACCAAGATACATCATGTACAGGTACAAACACCCAATGATAAATGTAAGTGTATTGTATACCTACAATGTACCAATAAAAGAATTTAAGCAAAAAAGAAAAAGATCCTGATGAGAGCACAGAGAGAAAGAAAGAGGGAGGTGTGATAGCAGGCACCTTTGATGGCAGTCTTGGTGATAGCAATCTTTGGTGATTGTCTTAATCTTATGTTTTTCGTAAGTTTTTTGTAGCTGCCTTTTATTAGATTAAGGAAGCTCCCTCTCTAAATTTTCTAAAAGTTTTCTTTATCATGAATGAGTGTAAAATTTCATCAATTTTTGCTTCTATTATGATACAAATTTTCTGCTTTATTTTACTACAGTGAGTGGCATTGATTGATTTTTCCAATGTAAACTGAACTTTCATTCATGGAATAAACTAAATTTAGTGATCATTTACATTTTCAACTACCCTGTACTATTTTGTATTATATATATGTGCAGAAACTTCAGAGCTGAAGAAACAATAGTTGAATTGAAAAATTTACTAGAGGGAATCCACACAGACTGAACCAAGCAAAAGGATCAGTGAATTTGAACACAGATCATTTGAAATAACCAAGTCAGAGGAGCAAAAAAGAAAAATGAAGCAAAATGAAGAATTCCTCAAGGATTTATACAATGCCATAAAGCATTAGAAAGATGCAATGATCAAAACAGTGTGGTAATGGCATAAAGACAGACACTGGGATCAATGGAACAAAATTCAGAGCCAGAAATAAACCCTCACGTGTACAGTGAGATGATCTTTGACAAGGGCCAGTATCACACAGTTGAGGAAGGACGTTTCTCCTACAAGCACTGGAGGTCAAATTGGATACCCACATGGAAAAGAATGAAGTCAGGGGAAAAAGCTTTGTGGATTGAATTTGGTAATGATATCTTGGATATGACAGCAAAGCCACAAGCAACAAAAGCCAACAAACAAGACTACAACAAACTTTACAACTTTCACACAGCAAAGGAAACAATAAAAAGGCAGTCTTTGAGGGCCAGGTATTTACCTCAGTGGTTCCACTGCCTGCCTTGCAAGCACAAGGACCGGAGTTCGATCCCTGGTACCAAAACAAAACAAAAACAAACAAACAAACAAAGGCAGTCTTTGTAATGGGAAAAAAAATTATAAGCTCAGGATTATTGCCTATAATATATGAAGAATTCCTGCAACTCAATAATATCAAAAACTTCCCCAGGTAAAACTGGACAAGTAACTTGAATAGACGTTTCTCCAAAGAAAATAGACAAATAGCCAATGAGTATATGAAAAATGTAAAATGTAAATCAAAAATATCACCACAAACAATATATACAGCATAACAAGTGTTGTCAATAATGTGGAGAAATTGGAGCCTTGTGCATTGCTAGTGGGACGTGAATATGCCAAGCCATTATGTTAAACAGTTTAGAGGTTCCTCCATAACAAAAGTAGAATTACCATATGATGCAGCAATCCTACTTCTGGATAGACACCCAAAAGAATTGAGATAAACATCTTGAAGAGATATTTGCAGATATTTGAAGAGATTTGTGTTCATTGCAGAACCAAGGGTGGAACAGCCCAAATGTTCATTAAAAGATGAATGGATAAAGAAAATGAGATGTAGACATGCAGTGGACTATCACTCAGCCATAAGAAATCCTGACAAGTAGGTACTACAGCATGGATGGATCTTAGGACATTATGCCAGTTGAAATAAGCTAGTCAGCAGTTATGAAATGTTAAATACTGATTTTACTTATATAAGCTATCAAGTGTAGTCAGGAGCACGGAAACAGAAAGAAATTGTAGTTTCCAAGCAAGAAAGAGGGGAAAAGGGGTTGTTTAATGGATACAGTTTCAGTTTTGCACAATGAATAATTTAGATATCTTTTATATAACAATGAGAATACAGTTAACCCCACTGCCTTGTGTGCCTAAAAGTTGTTCAAAGAGTGAATATTTTATATTTTCTACCATAAGTTTTAAAAATACCATAGCCTCCAGGTCACACTTTGTAGTAATAAGGTCAGTGTCTCAGAGTGGGAGCCAGGCACCCTCATTCTTCAGCACTTCCTCAGGCCTGGTGCTCTGCCTCTAAGATCGCATCCTGTGTGGTCTGCTTCCCATGTCTACACCTTGCCGCAAGGCTTATTCTCCGATGTGGAGTGGACTTACTAACTTGCTGCTAATGCAGAGGATGCAGAAGGGATGGGGTGTCCCTTCCGAACTCAGAAGACTGTGCTTCCTGTCTTGCCTTCTCTTTGGTGCTTGGTCCCAGGGTGCCCACTGCCCTGTCCTGGGGTAGCTTTGTGGAGAAGAGACCAAAGCCCACCGATGAGCATGTGAGTAAACGTGGAAGGTGATCTGCTCCTACCCATCTCATGCGAGGTCTTGAGATTCCTGGCCCAGAGAAAAAGTGAGGTAGTGTTTGATGATTTGTTAAGCAAAAAGAAATAAATAATGTAATAGGTGATTCCACTGTGCTGCAGCAAAGCACACCAAACTTGGCAAATCCATGGTTTCTGCAAGTCTTTTTTCTGAGGCCTCAGGGAAGCCTGGAGCATGAACTGCACTGGAGCAGCAAGGGGCCTGTCCCTGTAGACCCGCACAGAGGTGTGAGCTCTTGTGCTGGGTAGGGTGGTGGGAAAACCTAGCATCCCCAGGATAGTCTCATCAGCCCTCAGGAACCTACACATGCTGGTGGTAGTGCTGGCCTGGCAGGGCAAAAGGGGCATCTCTGTAAGAAGCCATACAAAGGGCAAGTGGCGCAGACCCGAGATGCAGACAGGTGCACGGCGCTCTCCAGCTCGCTCAGTGTGCACTTGGGGGCTGAGGTGGCGCCACGGGAGAGCATGGAGCTCAGCCGCGGGGTACATAGAGCGGGTGGGGCCTATAGCCAGGGCACCAGAACAGTAAGAGCGACAGACTGTTTCAGCCCTGACACATGGTGGCCCAGCGGTACAGTGTGGGCGGGAACACCCCATCAGCAGGGGTGTGGGTGGGAGAGTGACCCAGACAGCCTCACTGGCTGGGAACAGGAGCGCCCAGGGTCTACACAGCCAGCCGAGCCGGGCGGGAGAAGTTCCTGCGCATTCTCCTGGGTGGTCACAACCATCCCGAGAGAGGCGTCTTGCATCTGAGCGTCAGTTCCAGGGGTCACAAGCGCTTCCCTCGACACCACCCTGGTGCTCTGTGTGCTGCGCCTTGGGGACATACAGCCCCCCAGGCTGCGGCAGGCCCCGCAGCCCTGCTCCAGCACCGGGTCTGTGAGGCCCTGGCCTCTCCCTGCCTGCACTGGTGCTCAGCAGCGGCCCCATGGTGCCGGCTTCTGGCGTGCTCATGGAGTGCGTCGCTGGGAAAGCCCCAGAGGGGATCTGCTGAGCACCGCATCCCAGACAGCCTCAGGTCGGAGCTGCTGAGAGGTCCCGCAGCCTTCGGCCTCCGCAGCTCCTGCCAGGCACCTGGCGACCGCACAGCAGAAGCAACTGAGCATGAGTGACCCTTTGCCTCGGCTCTGTCCACACGGCCTAGAAGGACCCGGAGAGACGCTCACCAGCGCAGGTTGCTCAAGCACCTCAGCATTGAGGGAGAACATTGTAATTTTTTTCTATGTATTTATTCTCTTTTCACCTTTTGAAATTGTTTCTCTTTCCCCTTCTTTTACATTTCTCCTGCTTTCTTTTTTACCCTTTTATTTCATTCTGTATCCCTTTCTTTTCTGTTGTTGTTTTTAGACAGATGTTATGAAAGTAGGCATTTCCACATTTACTAATGCTTTAATTATCTGCAGTGTTTGAAATTCAGTTTTCTGTATTATTGAAGCATTAAAATATCTTTTAGGTTGAAAAATAGTATATGAGGGCCAGCTCAGTGGTGTGGCCTGTAGTCCCAGCTATCTGGGAAGCTGAGGCGGAAGGATTTTTTGTTTGTGTTTTATCTTTACTTGTTTATTGTTTTGTGGTGTAGAAATTGGACCTGGGGCTTTGTACACGTTGGGTGGGTGCTGTGCCACTAAGCAACACTCCCAGCCCAGCCAAAGGAAACGCACGGAGCTCCAGACATGCTGTAGTTCCACTCTAATCTCGGCTGATGTCTCAACCTGACGGGGGTGGGGACCCAGTGACCCTTCCCCACATATGCGCTCCTTGGTGAGTTTCTCAAGGGTTGGGAGTGCTGTGGAAGGGGCCGTTTTAACAGTGGTACTGGGAGTGACCGCCCCCTCGGTTTCCTGGGAGATCTCTCTTCCTCCACCAGCTGCCCTTTCTGGGCCTGGAGCACCTGCCATACCTTTTTTTTTTTTTTTTTTTCCGGTACTGGGGATTGAACTCAGGACCTTGCGCTTGCAAGGCAGGCGCAGCACCACTGAACTAAATCCCCAACTACCTGCCGTAGCTTTTATAGCGATCTTTCTTTTAGTTCGTGGTTTCCTTTAAAACAAATTCTAAACTGCCTATATTTCATCTTGGAAAACACACTTCAGTTTTTGTCTAGCATTTTCCTTTTCTAGTCAAGTTGTAGAATTTCCTATTCTTTCTGTCTTTATTTCGAAGGATTTAGAGAAAGGGATAGGAGGAAGCGTGTGCTCAGTCCCGCATCTTGACCCACAAGTCTGTAAATTGTAGCCGGCACTAAAGAATGCGTGGAAAGCTATGTGGACTGCTGACTGCTTTCACTCAAAAGCAGGACTTCTACATATGGAATTGTTAAAACCCTAAGAACATGGGTAGTAAAGTGCGCGGTGTGGCTCTGGTGACGAAAGTGTCTTTCTTCAGTTTTGTGCTAGGTGCCGTCTCTCCTGCGGTCGTGGTCCCATCCATGCTGCACTTGCAGGAGGCAGGGTATGGCATAGAGAAGGGCATCCCCACCCTCCTGATCGCTGCCAGCAGTATGGACGACGTCGTGGCTATCACGGGGTTCAACACAGTCTTGAACCTCATCTTCTCCAAAGGTGAGCAAGAAATTGCAAACTACCCTATCATTCATGACCTTTGTAGCTCTTTAAGCAAGGTTTCAGGCATTACATCTTCACTTAGGAACCAAGACTTTTTCTTTTCACATCTTTTTATTCTTCGTACAAAGCCCATCCCAGGCCAGGGAAGAAACTTCAATGGGTTTAAAAAAAACAAACACTTAACAAAGCAGTTTTATTTAAATAGCAAACATTTTGGCTGGGGATTTGGCTCAGAGGTTCCACCGCCTGCCTCACAAGTACGAAGTCCTGAGTTCGATCCCCGGTACCAAAAAAAATAAATAGGAAACATTTTGATTAATTTGATAATCCACATCATTTAGGGTTTATCTGCTCTGGTGCTTTGGAACTTCATCAGTTTTCACTAAGCAAATTTTGAGCATCAGTATTATTAGTACTACTAATATTTAATAGGTATTTTTGGAATGTTCCTTTTTGGCCATCCTAACAAATAATTGGTTGCTCTACATTAAGACAATGTAAACACACAAAGCAGGGACAACAGTGCACCTCTTTGTGTAGTGGTAGGACAAAATTCTAGCACACCAGTCTGATTCTTAGGTGCGACTTTGTCTTAAAGACATTGTGAAAATAGACATTTGCATATTTACTAATGCTTTAATTATCTGCAGTGTTGAAATTCAGTCTTCTGTATTTTTTTTTTTTTTTTTGTACCGGGAATCAAACTCGGGTCCTTGCACTTGCGCAGCAGGCAACGAAACCACTGAGCTAAATCCCCGGCCAGTCTTCTGTATTATTGAAGCATTAAAATATATTTTAGGTTGAAAAATAATATATAAGGGCTGGACTCAGTGATGTGGTCTATATCTGGGACGCTAAGGCAAAAGGATTGCTGGGTTCCAGGAGCTCAAGGCCAGCCTGGGCAACATAATGAGACTCTGCCTTTAAATACATGAAGATAGATTCAATGGGTGGGTCAATGGGTGGATAGATAGATAGAGTAAAAATAAAATCCTCAGTAGTCACATTCAGTAAGAATTTTTTCCTTCCAAGCCTTTGGATGTAAGTCCACCCAGATTCTCTTTTCCTCTTTTCACTGTTCTGTTCTGTTCTAGTCTTTTCTCTCTTCCTTCCCAATATTCATATAAAGACAACTGAACATTGAATGTGCTTTTTTGGAACCTGAGTCGTTTTGCACTTAACTATATTATCACAAACGTATTTCTCCTCATAAAGAAAATATATTTCTATATATTTTTTCTGGAGACAGGATTTCACTGTGTTGTCAAGGCAAACCTCAGAGTCACAACTCTTCTGCCTCAGCCTCCTGAGTAGCTGGGCCTACATCACCTCCCACTGTGCCTGGCATTTCTGTCATTTGCAATGGCTGTGTAGGATTCAGTAGTCTACATAAGAATTATTTATCTTGTTCATAATTGAAGTTGACTGCAGTATTTACTATTAAAATAGTGCTTAGTTGAACATCTTACAGAGATATGTTTGTACCTAATCTTTTTTTTCCATTAAGTTTATTGGTACATTTTAGATATACAGTACAGTTACATTCATCATTGGGATCTTGTACCTTTACATGATGGATCTTGGTTCTTATTTTTTCCCCATTCCCCTGCCCTCCCTTCAATCCCTCCACCCCTTCTATTCATAAAAACTTTGTTTCCTTTTTCCCTTTTCTCATATTTTTTCCTTTCCCTTCTTTCCTTTCCCCTACCCCTCCACTCTCCCTACTCCTTTAGATCTTTTCTTCCTATTTTGCATTATCAATTATACATTTTGATCCTTATTCACACTTTTAGTTTTTCTGTACCTAATCTTAATGCTTTCTTAATGTTAAAAGTGGAATTGTTGATCTCCAAAATACATCCAGTTATAAACTGTTTGAAACACGTTGCCAAATGTGTCTCACCAGGGTACATAAGCTTTCTACACCCTCTTCAAATGTAGGTATCACAGCTATGCATGGTGGATGCACCTGTAGCATGCATGAGTGGGGAGTCCTGGCAGTGTTAAACAGCTCCTCAGATGTGTTGGCCGTTGGCATTTTGGAATGTTTGGTGTATTGCTTCTCTTCAGAGCCTTTTTCCTATTTCTTATAAATATATTTATCTTTTGTTCAATTTCAAACATGAGGAATAATCTATATCAGAGGGTGACATCAAACCTAATTTGTGGCAAACCAGAGAAAGTGAAAAACCAAGCAAGACTGCATCTTAAAATTCCTTTCCTACCTCCTGACTCTATAAACTGCCATGTAAAATTTTAAGGATTTTTAATCTTTTATGTTGTACAGTATATCTTCCATATATCTGTATTTTTGAACATGGCCTATTTTGAGCTCTAACTTCACTTTTAGCTAACTAATAGTAGTTTAGCTTTGTTGTTGGATATTACATCTCTGTCAAGTCACTTTTGCTATACTGAAATTTCTAAATACAGAATCTGCCAAAAAACGTATACACACTTCACGAAAAGAAAAATAATAAATGTCTGGAAGCTAATGGCCACCCATTTTGAGTACCTCTTGTAATTGCACAGGCCAAAGGTAACTTGTATTAATCTCGTGATATCTCAATAAATATACAAGTTTTTATTTTCCTGAAGTGTGTGTACATTTTTTGGCGGACTTTGTACACTAAGTTGATTTGTTTCTACTTTCCACTGTTCTGCTTTTACCTGTGGTAAAGTCACGTGTGTGGGTGATCTGCTGCTGAGTGTCTATGGTCAGTTCGCCTTCCGTCATTATCTCATGTCCTTGTGTCTTGTGACAACATGTGACTTCAGGTCTATTTTGTCTAAGTGGACTTTTGGTGACCATTTATGTGGATACCTTTTTCTATCCTTTCACTTTCAGTCTCTGTGTGTCCTTCAGTGGAAAGTGAGTTTCTCATAGAGAACATATACTGTAGTTTGAATCTTGTTTTTTAATCCATTCAGCCAATCTATGTCATTTGGCTAGGGAACTCATCTGTGGAACATCTACAGTAATTACTGACAAAGAAAGGCTTACTCTTGCCATTCTGCTTATGTCTAATTGCTTGTTTGTCCCTCTTTTCCTCTACTACTGCTTCCCTCTGGTGTTTTTCAACTTTTTATAAACACATGCATTGATTCTTTTGTCATTTTCATTTCTGTATCTTCCATAGGTCTTTTATTTGTGGTTTCCACAGAATTACATAGAATATCTTATGGTTACAACAGTCTGTTTTAAACCAATAACACTTAACTTCAATCTCTACCCCTTTAATTTCCTTCTCTGCACTTTGCTTGAATGTCACAAATTACATGTTTTTTACATTGTATGTATATTCACCTGGTTAATTTATTTTTATTTTATCTTTTAAATTCCACACCTGCATTAAAAGTTCTTCACTTACCACCCTAACAGTATTGCAAGATTCTGTAATTGTCTAGATGTTCACCTTTATTTATTTATTTACTTACTTTGGTACTGGGGATCGAACTCAGGTCCTTGCACTTTTGAGGCAGGCAGCGGAACCACTGAGCTAAATCCCCGGCCCTATGTGTTCACCTTTAACATAAGAGCTTGTGTTTTGCACACCTGTTCATCTTGTCCCATAAGTACTACCTCACACCTCCTGTAAGGCTGGTCCAGGGCTGATGAACTCACTCAGCCTTCATGTATCTCTGGAAGACTCTTTTTTCCTTTTCATTTCTGGAAGATGGACTGGATTTGCTGAGTGTCGTGCTTTTTTTTTTTTTTTTTCTGATACCGGGGATCGAACTCGGGTTCTTGCTCTTGCACAGCAGGCGGCGAAACCACTGAGCTAAATCCCCGGCCCATGCGTGTCGTGGTCTTGGTTGGCAGGGTTGTCTTTCTCCAGCACTCCAGGTGCTTTACCCACCCCGTGGAGCCTATAGGGCATCGTCTACTGACTCAGTGGACTCCGCGTGGAAGCTCCTGTCTGAGGCAAGGTGCTTTGTGCTTCAAGCACCGTTTTCTTGAAGGTGCCTTCAAGACCCCTGTTTGCCTTTGGCGTTGACAGTTTGGTGCCAGTGTCTCCTTTTTAGGTCTCTTGGTTTACTCTAGTTGGTTTCTTTGAGCTTTTTCCTAAGTCTCTTTCTTGCTCCCATTTGGGAAGCCTGGGGCCGTTCCTCATCAGTCTTCCCCTGTGACACACTGGTCTGCCGGGTGGCAGCCTGTACGACCCTGAGAGTCCCCACAATAAACTGTCTTCCGTTTCACTGACTCCCTCTTACGCTTGATGCAGCCTACTGTCAACCCCCTCTGGTGAAGTTTTCAACCTCGACATTGTATTTGTCAGTTTTAGAGTTTCTGTATTTTTTATACATAGTTTCTCTTTGCTGATAATCTCATTTTTGTGTATGCATCATTCCCTGATTTTATTTAGTTGGCCTTCTTGTTTTTATGAGACTTACAGTGTATTTATTTGTTTTACTGTTTGTTTGTTTGTTTGTTTTTACAGTGCTAGGGCTTGAAGGCAGGGCATGAGGAATGTTAGGCAACTGCTCTACCACTGAGCTACCTCCCTTAGCCTTATTTTGAATTCTTTATCAATTAGTTCACAGCTGTCCGTTTGCTTAGGGTCGGTGTCTGGAGATGGAGTCTGCTCCTCTGAGTTGGCCATGTGTCCTGTTTCTGTGTGTGTGCTGTGACTCTTTATTCTGGGACTTGGTGTTTGAGGAGGACTTTTCTGGCCGTGCCGATGACCAACCACGCGGCCGGCCCCTGGGTACTACTGTCCCGCCCCCTCCAGGCTTGTACAAGGAATACTCCACTCAGACAGGTCTCTTAGTGCCTTTCTCTGGAGCTTTTGCTCCCTGTTGTCTGTGCACTGCAGGTTCCCCAATTTTGGAGCTGTCTCTGACCTCTTCTTTGTTCTCAGCCGTTCTCGGTTATCCACAGTGCACAGGTTTTGAGGTGGAATGGGGAGGCCAGTGCCTTGGACAACCCCCAAAAGCTGCTCTTTTCTCCTCATCTCCTCCCGATGGAGCAGTGGTGGGTCTGGGGCTTTCCCCCAGTTGTGCCAACCTGGGCCAGCTTGGGGAAGGACTCTGACGGGCATCATGAGCAGCTGTTCGCGCCGTCCATGCCACTCTTCCTGTTCTGCACATGCCAGGGTGTTGCACTTCTTCACCACCATGGTGTTGCATTGAGGCTTCTGGACCACACGCTGATGCTTGCCCCAGTCTGGGTGTGGTCAGGGTTCGGGCTTCTCATTCCAGCACCTTGCTGACACCACTCTGTTTCTATTATTTTTAATGAAAAAAAATCCTAAAATAGACATTTGAACCTTTTAGAGAATGAGTGTCCAAATTGCAACCCCAAACCCACTTATTTATTCCAAAGTGCCAACGTTGCAATTAAACCTGAATGCCCAGCTGCTGGGGCGATGCTGGGGTGACTCGGGGAATGTGCCCATAGGGCTCTGTGTGCCCACTGCACCACGAGAGTCATAGATTCACCACTGCTTTAGCAAGTCGAATACCCAGAGAAGAACTGAACTTTTTTTGTAACTGAGGACCAGAGTTGTTTTGTTTATCATTTGTTGCTTATTACTATGAACTACAAATGTGATACATAATATCTATGGATAAAATATGTATTGAGCACTCATTTGCCCCTTGACTATTTCTAGGCTTGACCCTGGAATAAAATTATTTTACTCTGTTGTTATTGTTAAGTTGTTGTTTATTTTGCACAATATCACATCTGGGAAGGATTGTTAATAGAATCCCGCTGGCCACATGCCAAGAGCCACCAGTCTTCCCTGTCACTTTCTCTCCACTCTTGCACCTCACCTGGTCTCATAGGTGAGTGTGTGATTATACACTGTGGCTTATCACTTATTTTCTGGCCCATTCAATGGGAATTTCTGAGTTGTGTGTATATTTTAAATTATTTGAGAGTAGGCATTTAATTTCAGTTAGATCCAAACATGTTTTCACATGTCTCACTATTAAAGGTCCAGTTTATTTGTTCTACAAAATGTTACTTTTCATAAACTAAATAGATTTGATTTTCTGATGTGAAAATATTTCTCTGTGAAAAGTATCTTTCATTGTGTGCCCTTACAGGTAGCATACTTAATAATGTCCTATCAACTTTATGGGATGTATTTGTTGGTGTGCTGGTAGGAACTGTTTTCGGACTTTTTGTTCAATATTTTCCAAGTGAAGATCAGGTAAATTTAAAAATTCATGTATTCTATAGAACTGCAGTATGTTAGTTTTCCATCACCACAGTGAACCACCTGAGACAGTTAACTTATAAGCGTGAAGGTTTGCACGGGCTCACAGTTTGAAGGTTCTATCCATGATCAACTGGCCCATCACTGTGGGCCTATGTCATGGCAGGAGTACACAGCAGAAAAAATCCATTAACATTAGGAGCCAGGCAGCAAAAGAAAGAGAAGGAACATGTGCCCGAGGACCTCCCCCAGGGTTTCCCCAGGGGCTCGACCTGGGAACCACGCCTCCAACAACATACAGACCACAGCTTGTCATATTAGACATTTCTTCCCAAGAGCTGAACTTTGGAAAAGTCTGTGAAATATTAAATTCCATACTTACCCTCTCCCCCAAGGAGCCCTCCACGCCTACTGTCTGCTTAAAACTGAGCACAGTCATAATTGGTGCAAGTTGACAATGGCCTTGACTAATGTCTCTGCTTCCTAATTTGTCAAATAAGGAATATCAGAAAAATGTACTTAAATCTGAGTTTCTCCTCTTCTCCACTAGATTGCCTATTAAGTTTGACAATTTTTCCTCGAGCTTTCCCTTAAACGTTTTTGGGAAAAGATAGCTTCCCATTTATCTCTGCATATTTTCTGACATAAATTTGTTCCTGCTCTTCTTTTCAGAGTCCACCTTATTAAACTTAACACTTTCCTGCTGTAAAGGATATACCATTACTCTTGTATTTTGATAACTTCCACCTTAACTTACCTGTAATAATTATTTTGACAAAAAAGATACTAAAAATTTATTTTTAAATTTTTGGTGGATAGCTTATATAAAACTAAAGATTATATGGATCTCTCCTTCGCTTTCAGTTAAAATATTATAGCCATATTATTGATACCAGTATTGGATATATATCAGAAAATGAAAGTTTAATATTTATAAATTTTATTACTAGAGATCAAGTTTGCTGAAATACTTAGGAAGAAAATCAACATTTTAGACACTAACATATTGAGGGACATGGCAGCAAAAGGTCAAAAATAAATTATAGATGATCCTAAATCTTATGTATTTAATGTAAACCAATTTCTAAATATCTGTTTCTAGGAAAAGGTTCCAATGAAGAGAGCATTCCTTATTTTGAGTAGGTCTGTTTCTGCTGTATTAGGCAGCCAGCATATTGGTTTACACGGAGCTGGAGGATTATTCACGCTAGTGTTATCTTTCACAGCAGGGTTAAAATGGGCCAAAGAGAAGGTGAATATTTTTTTTTAAATAAAATAACTTAGTTTGTGTATATATATATATATATATATATATATA